TCTTCTTCTTCTTCTTCTTCTTCTTCTTCTTCTTCTTCTTCTTCTTCTTCTTCTTCTTCTTCTTCTTCTTCCTCTTCTTCCTCTCCTCCTCCTCCTTCTCCTTCTCCTTCTTCTCCTCCTCCTTCTTCCTCTTCTTCCTCCTCCTACTACCCGCCCCTTTCTCCTCCTCCCCTTCTCCTTCCTCCCCTCTGCAAACCCCATTCCCTTCTAGCACTGATGATATTACGTAGTTGGGTCATGAAACGTCTATAAGAAAACAACTAAGGTCAGGGAGCACCAAGGACCCCATAGTCCTTTTCCTCTTCCTCCTCCTCTTCTCCCCCCCTCTTTCTCCCCCCCCCTCTTCCTCATCTCCTTCCTCCACTCCACAAACCCCATCCCCTTCTAGCACCAATGAAGTTACCAATTTGGGTCATGAAATGTCTGCATAAAAATTACCAAGTTCAGAGAGCCGAGTTTTATATCTGTGTGGCTGCAAAACAAAACAAAAATTGGGGAAATCATCACCAATAATATCGGGGCAGGTTGGGTGGGATCAACAGCCGGAATATTTCGGGCCTGTTCTGTGTTTCGCTTGGAGATACTTACTTGACGGGTGGGAAGCTGGTTACACTCAGTGGGTGCCCGCAGGTCGGAAGGGTGGTCTGAGGCTGCGGGCATCTCAGGAGGCTTCGTCTCCTTTGACCTTTGAGTTGATGTGAAACACGGCCCGTCCCAATCAAAATTGTTGCGGCTCCCATCCAGGTCACTGTTATATCATCATCATCAAGAGCAATTTATGATTATTAACAGTTGGGCAAATTTGTTTCCCAAAGAAAATGAGGCATATGCTAGGCTGCATTGATGGTCATCCGAATGGCACCTGGACCATACAAAGTGCAGATGACCAGAACCTGTTTAAGGCAAGGCATGTTCAACCTTGGCAACTTGAAGGCCTGTTGGACTTCAACTCCCAGAATTCCCCAGCCAGCACAGAATAGAATTCTGGGAGTTGAAGTCCACAAATGGTCCAAGTTGCTAAGGTTGGACACCCCTGGTTTAAGGTAATGGCTAGGTGTAATACCCCTAAGGTTATTTTGAAAAGTAACCTGGATTTGCTCAAATTAATATGGGTAGTCCTTGACTTACAACGGTTCAATTGTTACTCACTTAACAACTGCATGGATTCCCTAAATAACTGTGTCAAAAAATATCTTGTAAAATGGAGCAAAGCTCTAGGTCTCCCTTAACCACAGAAATTTTGGAGCTTAGTCGGGATGATATGTGTCATTATGGGTGGTCCTCGGCTTACGGCGGCGATGGGAGACCAGATTCTTCACCTTTTTCTCCCTTTCTCCCTCAGATCTTAAAGGCATCTTAATTTTACAGATTTCAAAAAGAGCAAAACTCAAGACACTGTTTACAAATTCCCCAACAAGACCGACAAGCCAGAACCGCATTCCGTATGACGGCACGTGGCCTTGAAAGTGGCTGAGTGCCGATCGATGCTGGTCGGACTAGTTTTAACTG